ACCTGAAGAACTGCAGCTCGAGGTAACTTTTTTCTTGTTTTTTTAAAAACCGCCTCTTGGAGGGAAAAGGGAAATCCACCTGGGACCTGCGGGGTCAAAGGTCAGCGCACCTGTCCGGGGCTCCTCACCTGTCTCTGGGGTCGATCCAGCTGGTGCACTGGTGGATGTGGTCGATGTAGTAAACTTTGCCATCGAAGTCCGTGGCTTCCTCCCAACCTTCAGGTAGTGGCAGCTCCTTCATTGGCATTTCAGGCGAGTCTCCATGCAACGAGCCCGGTCTCTTCAGAAGCACAAGGCCGGGAAACCGTCGCTTTGCTCGGTCATCGTCGTCCTGGAAAAGCCCGCTCCTACCCCCGGAACCCCCGGCCCGCGGCGGCCGGGACTAGGCCACGGTGATAATCCATAATAATCCGCAGATTATTAACGAGGCAAACATCAAAAAATAAACTACGGGAGGAGGAGGGGGGGGCGGTTTTTAGGGGGAACTAACTCGGGGGGTGAAGTAGCTCCAGCCGGGTGCTCCGGTTCATCCCCCGGGAGCCTCAGCATCTGAAGTTTACCCCCGAAAAAACGGCTCAAAATCCCCCAAAATGGGGCTCCTTTTTTATTTTTTATCTTCTCCCAACTTTTCCCAACTTTGAGGCGGTTTGGTGGTAAAGTTTGGACGCGGAGAGAGCGAGTTATCCACGGTCCAGAGAGCACGGACGGACGGAGCTGGTCGACCGTTGGGCGGCCGTTGGGCGACCGTTGGGCGGCTCGCGAGCGGCCGTTGGGCTCCTGGAGCTCACACAAACGCCCGGAAAAAAAGGCTGAGGACGGTCCCGGGACAGAAACGTCTCCAAGTCCCCCCAGACGGAGCCCGTCTCCCCCTTCCTTACCACCAGGCCACCATGTTTAGCCGCGGTAACCGATGCTAGCCAACCGGCCGCGGGGCAGCGGACGCTCCGGGCCGCCTCCGAGGAAAATGGGGGTAAAAAAAACTGAACCAACCCCCGGTCCAAACGCCGGCGGAATCCAGGTAAATTCCCCGAAAATATGTGCGTTTTCCCGGCTGGAAGGAGGACGGGAGGACGGGAGGACGGCGGCGGTAAACTCTTCCCTCAGTTCCGACCACTTCGGTAAACCGCCATTAAGCTAGCGAGCAACGGTCGCGACCACTTCCGGTTTCAAAGTAAAAGCGAGCAACGGCAAACCCCAGCCTACAAAATAAAACTTCCGGTCGATTTAAACATGAATAGTCACAAATATGTGATTTAAATGCCCAAAATGTTTATTTATGTGCCAGTTCAACAATATAAGATGCAAAATGCCAAAAAGAGACACAAAATC